CCATGTGCCCGACATTCCAACAATGCAATCAGGCCAGAAAGAGAAAGAGCTATAAGGGGACTAATATAGTAGGAAAGATAACACATTAAGTGTAAAATATAAGCACTTGCAAATACAGAAACTGATCATTATCTGACAGCAGAGGTCATGTGTAAAACAAAAAGGGCCCACTCACAGTGGACTGTTAGGATTGTTACTTATTACAGAACTTACAAGAGAAAATGGTACAGTCAAATGAGAAGAGATCAAGAACCAGATGGACCTAATCTTGTCCACACCCTCATCTTGCTGTTAAATATTTCACTTATATTTTAGTAATAAGGTTTAAGAGTCAACACTAGCACCTCATATGAAGTATAACAAAATGCACTTCTTTACTGATCTGAGAGAGATATTGATTTGTTGTTTCACTTATTTATGCATTCATTTGGTTGATTCTTGTATGTGCCCTTACTGGAGATCAAACCCACACCCTAAGTGTATCAGAGCAACGCTCTAACCAACTGAGTTACCCTAAGTTTGTTGTTTTAGTCATTTTGTGAAGAATTCCTCTATTTATTATGGTAAAAGTTTATGCTGCTATAATAAAAACACCTAACAATACAATGACTTTTTTAAAAAGTTTGTTTCTCTCGTCGAACAGCTCTGAAGATGGCAATTCAGTTTGGTGGAGCGGTTGTGCACCACTCCGTCATTTGAGGTTCGATTCCTTTCACCCTGTTCCTCTGTCCCTGGGGCATCACTGTCACCTGCATGACTGAAGCTGGGTCCCCAGGGATTCCAGCTGGAAGAAAGGGAAAGCATGAAAGAGACGCCCCCACCGCCTTCAAGACTAGGATCAGAGTTTAGACACCCCACTTCTCCTCACATTCCAGAGTGAGAACTTAATCACACCCACATGCAGGGGAATATGAGAAATGTGCTCTAGCCTCAATTTTTAGAAGTTACTGTATTGGTAGATTTCTTTATTATATAGCACTTACGCTTTTACTTTACATTGTGGGCACATGGAAGAATAAGACAATAAAGTTTGTTGGACAACTAGCAATTTCCATATTTCCAAAAAATGGCACACCATTAAGATTCTATATATGAAAAATTATTTCTGTTCACAATCTGGCCCCAACTCATAGGGGAAAACTCAATGGAAGGAATGTCAGAGATAATTTAGTTGAACCTCTAACATGAGAAAACTGAGGCAGAGAAGTGGAATTGCCTGCTCAAGCAGCTGGTGGGAGAAGCAAGACTGGAATCCATGTGTACACATTCGCAGCTCACTGTGCTTCACAGCCTGCCATGAACTGACTGAAACATGCACTTGTACACCTGTCAGAATGGCTATTATCAATAAGTCATCAAAAAAGTGCTGGCAAGGATGTGGAGAAAAGGGAACCCTCATGCCTTGTTGGTAGGAATGCAGCCTGGTGCAGCCACTGTGGAAAGCAGTGTGGAGTTTCCTCATAAAATTAAAAATGGAACTGCTTTCTGATCCAGTGATTCCTCTTTGGGGAATTTATACACAGAAACCCAAAACACTAATTTGAAAGAATATACGCATCCCTATGTTCATAGCAGCATTATTTACAATAGCCAAGATCTGGAAACAGCCCAAGTGCCCATCAGTAGATGAGTGGATAGAAAAGCTGTGGTATATTTACATGATGGAATACTACTCTGCTGTGAATGAAAGAAAATTTTACCCTTTGCAAAGTATGGATGGACCTGGAGAACATTATGTTCAGTGAAATAAATCAGTCAGAGAGAGACAAATACCATATGCTTTCACTCATATGTGGAATTTAATGAACAAACTGAACTACCAAGCAAATAGAGGCAGACACACAGACAGAGAGCAGGCTGACAGCTCTGGGGGTGTGTGTGGGGTGGGGGGGGTAGTTGAGGAAGTAGAGGAATTGAGAACAAAAATAGAGAACTCATGGACATGGACAACAGTGCGGTGATTGGAGGGTCGAGGGAGATGGGTAGAGGTGGTAGAGGATATCCCTTTTATCCCATAGAAGGATAAAAGGTGACGGAAAACATAAAATTAAAAAAATAAATAATAAATAAATAAAAATATGCACTTGTCTGAGATATTTGAGCACTCTAGTCAATCAAGGAAATGTGGGCTCCAAAGTTGATTTTTTTTTCCCCTCTGCAATTAGGTAGTTTCATGAAATACCCAATTCCAAGGTCCTAATAACTGCTAATGCTCTATTTTATATTTTAATATAAATAACTCCTTTATGTGAAAGAGGAATTAGGAAGAACTGGGGGCTGCCCTGTGCCTTTAGCAGCACCCTCGGCCTCTACCCCCTAGATGCTAGTAGCACCCTTCATGCTCCCCAGTGTGACAACCAAAATGTCTCCAGACAGTGCTAAATGACCCCTAGGGAACAAAATTACCTCCAGTTGAGAATCACTAATTTAGGCTACTACATGAACAAACAAGAATCAAGAATTTGCTCACTCCCATCCCTAAAACAGGGCTAGAAAAATATTCCCTGGTCTGAGTGATGGGAACAGAGTCAGATAAGAAACGAGACCATGCCTCAGTAATGAACTCTGAGCCATTCCTTGGGCCAAGTCTTAGAGAGGTGGCAACACTCCTAGATAGGTTTGTGGGGTTCAAGAAAAGAAGAGACTTGCAATCTATTGCCCTACTAAAGTCCTGGAAGGTGCCAATATACCAGAGAAGAAACATTTGCAGAATACATCTACATTAACCACAGCCTGGCACAGGAACAGCAGAATAATTCATTTCTGGTCACTCAAAAGTGGTCTGGAATACAATCTCACTTATATGTGGAATCTAATGAACAAAATAAACAAACAAAATAGAAACAGACTCATAGATACAGAGAACAGACTGACACTTGTCAGAGGGGAGGTGGTTTGGGGGTGGAAAGGGTGAAGGGATTAAGCAGCACAAACTGACAGTTGCAGAATAGTCACATAAATGCTTGGTACTGAAAACCTTTTTTGAAAAATTAACTAACTTGAGTAAAAATAAAGAGAGAGCATGAATAACGTTTGCCTCGCTTGTTAGTAGAAACTGTTCCACCTCCATATGCTTTTCTTCTCTAATAAAAGTGATCAGGTATATCACAGGACCAACACTATGAAAGCATTCCCGCTTAATGTGTGATTCTGAACAACCCAGAAGAGAAGAGCAAGAGGCAGAAAATGGTCTTATCAACAAAAACTACACACTCATATAACTCAGAGGTAAACTCCAAAATATGCCCACATTTATAACAATTCATATGTCCTTCTAGTTTTATCCATATCATTAAAACAATTGTGCAAAATAAGAGAACCTCCCCGATGCACCAAGCTGGATGTGATGTGGGGAGTTCTGATGGAAAAGAGCATTGGGCTTATTCTATATTCAACCTGTCCTTTCATCTGTTTATCTATTTGTACAGGGGAGGAGAATCATAAAGAATATAAAACTGAAGAAGACACAATCGCCATTCCCCACCAACAAGCCGACTGGCTGGTGCTGAGCAGAATCAACCAACCAGGCCTCCCCCGAGTGAGGAGGGTGGTGAAGCTGCCGCCCCACCCTGCTCTGGCCAGCACATGACTTCCAGCTCGACCATCCTGAAGACACATGCATTTACATACACACAGGCAAAGAAAAGTTTCTGAGTGCCTGTTAGGAAAGTCCTGTGTTACACAGTGGTAAAAATGAATATCAGACTGGTGCAGCCACTATGGAAAACAATATGGTGTTTCCTCAAAAACTTAAAAATTGAACTTCCATTTGACCCAGTGATCCCACTTCTAGGAATATACCCTAAGAAGCCTGAAACACCAATCAGGAAGAATATATGCACCCCCATGTTCATAGCAGCATTATTTACAATAGCTAAGATCTGGAAACAGCCCAAGTGTCCATCGATAGATGAGTGAATAAAAAAGCTGTTGTATCGCCCTGGCCAGTTTGGCTCAGCGGTTAGAGCGTCGGCCTGCGGTCCGGAGAGACCCGAGTTCGGTTCCCGCTAGGGGCATGTACCTCGGTTGCAGTTTGTCCCCGGCCCTGGTTGGGTCGTGTGGGTGGCGACCACTCGATGTGTCCCTTTCACGTCGATGTTTCTCTCTCTCTCTCTCCCCCTCCCACTCTATCTGAACAAAATATCAAAGAATGTCCTCGGGTGAGGACTAAAAAAAAAAAAAAAAAGCTGTTGTATATACACAATGGAGTACTATGCAGCTGTAAGAAAGAGAGATCTCTTATCCTTTGAGATGACATGGAGGGACCTGGAGAGCATTATGCTAAGTTAAATAAGGCAGTCAGAGAAAGACAAGTATCACATGATCTCACTTATTTGTGGAATATAATGAACAATACAAGCTGATGAACAAAATACACCCAGAGACACAGAAAGGAGTTCGGTTCAGACTGACAGACCTCAGAGAAGGGGATGGATGAGATGAACCAAAGAACTTATATGCATGTATGCGTAACCAATGGACATAGACAACAATCCTGGGGGGGGGGGGGATCGGAAGGAAGGTGTCTAGGGGGGGAAAAGGAGAAACATCTGAAACAAAAATAATTTAATTAATAAAATAAAATAAATAAACAGAAAAAAAAAGTATCTAATGATAGCGACATGGGAAGGAACAGCCAAAGGAGACATGATATGAAGCTTGAGCTGGGGCACTACTGCTTGGCAGTGCCCCTCAGTCTCATCTGTGTTCCCTCAATGAGTTGGGGGAGAAAAGACCAATGTTAGCAGGGTTAACATTTAGTTGAATATGAGTCCCACAAAACTTTTCAGGACTTTTCTTCACCCCTTATCCCTAATCATGGCATTGTATTATTCTAATCACATGACCTTTTCACCAAACAGAAAAGAAACAAAGAAATCTAAACATTAAAGTTTGTAGAGATGATGTCATTTGCTATACCCTAGATGGCATTCTGATAATAGTTAAGACAGATGAACCCTGAGAGGCCGAGTTACATAAAATTTCTCAATCATATTCACCATTTATTTTGTGGTAATCCATCAATCTGGCGGCTTGTTGAAAATGTGGCAAGCTGAATCTGTTTTTAATACATCCAAGCATGGCACCAAGATCAGTCACCACAGTCTAGTTGTTTGGTCACCCATATGCATCCTTAGTGTACTGAAGAAGTCACTGAATGATAACTGAAAATAACCTCTACACATAAAGAGAAATGTAATCACATGATTTATTAATTTATCTATCTATCCAGCAAGCCAGCCAGCCAGCCAACAATACTTATTAACAACCTATTATAAGCCAAACATTGTGCAACTACGAATATCAAAATGAAAATAAATGATCCCTACCCTCAAGAAATTCCTAACATTGTACAGTAGACTCAAATACTTTTTACTGTACATTACAATCAAGAAAAAAATTTGAGTATATATATCCAATATTATAAAAGTATATTTCCTTACTTATAATAAACAAATACTACTATACTAATATAAAGTACATATATATATTTGAAAACCATTGGAGTTTAGAAGCACCAAACCCCCATGAGGTCAAAATCCACACATATCTTTTGACTCCCCAAAAACTTAACTACAAATAGCCTACTGTTGACCAGAATCCTTACCAATAACATTAACAGTCAATTAACATACTTTGTATGTTATATGTATTATATATGGTATTCTTACAATAAAGTAAGCTAGAGAAAAGAAAATGTTAAGAAAATCATAAGAGAAAGTACATTCACAGCATTTATTGAAAAACGTCTGTGTATGAGTAGATTCATGAAGTTCAAACCCATGTTGTTCAAGGACCAAACTGTATACATAACAACTATATTCATATAGCATATATCTATATGTAGAGAGAAAATTATATCATAAAATACACACAAAAAATTGAAGTTAAAAAATTAATTGGCCCTGGCCGGTTTGGCTCAGCGGTTAGAGCGTCGGCTTGCAGTCCAGAGAGACCTGGGTTCGGTTTCCGCTAAGAGCATGTTAGCGGAAAGGTTGCAGTTTGTCCCCAGCCCTGATTGGTCATGCAAAAGGCAGCCACTCAATGTGTCCCTTTCACATCGATGTTTCTCTCTCTCTCTCTCTCTTCCTCTCTCTCCCTCCCACTCTATCTGAACAAAAAATGAAAAAATGTCCTCAGGTAAGGATAAAAACCAAAAAAACCAAAACAACAAATGAAAAATGAACAGTTCTAAATAGAATAAGAGAAAAAGTTGAAAGGAAAGAATAAGACCTTTAAATCAGCAGCCTCAGGGATACTCTCCAAGAAGACAGACAACTGTCCTTGTGCTAATGTGATAGCATATCAGTGGGCCCTTTGTGGTCCCATCTACCGGATTACCCCAGACTGCCCTGACCCATCATTTTGATCGTAGCATGCAACATTTTTAGTTGTAAGAGCAAGGACAGCTAGTCCTACATAAATGATTAGAACACAAACCTTGGGGATAGAGAAAATTCGTTTTGCTTTGGAAAATCCAAGACCTCCTTAGTTTTAATTCTGTGTGGAAATTTAAAAGGAAATTCAGGAAATTGAAGCTTAAGTAGGAAAAAAAAAAATCAGCCGCGAGTTCTTTCTTGCAGTCATTAATAACATGACAATGAAAAGCCAAATTCTGCCACATTATTGGCAACCATATTTATATCTCTAAAAAGAATGATCTTATCATTGACAGATGCTAAGACTCAGTGGTTTGAATCACACCATGTGTTACAAATTAAAAGGGCTCAATTCACAATAATGCTAATCTGGAAAAGAATAGGATAAAAACAATTGTTAGGAGCTGCAGGACTAATATTTAAAAGTAACCCACACATATTAGCCAGAAAAAGTATGTATAAAATTAGATAACATATTAACCCAGGTAGTACCTTCAGCAAGTGTAGGGCCACTCAGCATAAAGCTTTAAATAGAGAAAAGTATCCTAAATATGTTTCTATTTCTGTTTTAAAAAATAGATATGTTTACACATAGGAAAAACTAAAATAATATATACTGAACTGTTAACGTTATTTGTATATGGGAGGAGGTTGGATTAAGAGAAACTATTACCTTCTTAAACATTCATGTCTCTAAATTTGAATTTTTATAAAGATGATTTACTATCCTTACAATCAAGAAAAATATGTAACTATTTTAAACAAACAAAACCTATTGAAAGAAATTATATTTTGATGTAATAGAAAATATATTGAACTAAAAATCACTAGACTAGGGTTTAAAAAAATCAATGCTGCCACTCACCAGCCATGAAATAGGTGGCCATTAATACTGGCGCTGGAGCTGGTGGTGGTTGTGGTTGCTGTTATAGCAACAAGCTTCTACAAACTTGCCGAAGTCCTCTCTTCTGAGAGTCCGGTCTCTTTCCTATGTATTGTATTCCAGCATTGCCCCCTACCCACTATAGGTTGCATTACAGCCTGCTCAAATGTTTTTTTCCATCAGTGAGAGATTAATGCACATACTGAAATTATATAATGGGCTTTAATCTTTACAAACCTCCTAGATTCTTCCTCTAGACTACAGCTAGAGGATGGGCAAGCAAAACCGCTCAGTGGAAGATGACACGTGTGTATTGAATGGTCGTTTCTGGAGAGTGCGAACTACCTGCGGACCTCACTGGGAGGCTTCCCAGCCTGGGGCTCAGGAGGATGGCCCGTCTCCCTGTTCTGCTGCTCAGTGACTCCTCCAGTCCTGAGCAGTCCTGGGTTCTACTCTTGCATCTACCTCTGAAGAGTGCAGGACCCAGGACAATTCCTCTCACTCTGTTTGGGAGAACATTTGAAGCATGTATTTAAAAGTGAAGCTGTCTTGCCCTGGCCGGTTTGGCTCAGCGGTTAGAGCGTCGGCTTGCAGTCCGGAGAGACCTGGGTTTGGTTCCTGCTAAGGGCACGTACCTCAGTTGCAGTTTGTCCCCGGCCCTGGTTGGGTCATGTGGGTGGCAACCACTCAATGTGTCCCTTTCACGTCGATGTTTCTCTCTCTCTCTCTCTCTCTCTCCCCCCCTTCCACTCTCTCTGAACAAAATATCGAAAAATGTCCTCGGGTTAGGATTAAAAAAAATAAAAATAAAAATAAAAAAAAGTGAAGCTGTCTCTTCTTCCTGTACTACATGAGGTCATGTAGAGTGATTCATGAATAACTTCTTGAATTGTTTCACCAAGCATTTAGCAAGTGCTATTATATGCTAAATACTGTGCCAAGAGCTGGACATAAATGAGATATGGCCCCCACCCTTAGTGTCCCATGTAACGGGGTCTCAAATTGGTATATGGAAACAAGTAAAAGATACTCATTTGCATTCATAGGTCCATTCCTTCATGTTAACAGAAGCAGCAGCCATGGGCTTTACTTATTACTATTTAGTTTATACTGATTTACAAAAATAGAAGTAGAAGGGGTGATTTTTGTAAAGCCTTTAGTAAGTTAGCACATTTATTGAGCGTTTACTAAGTCCTAGGCACTTGGCTTGATGCCAGGGATACAAAGAAGCTAAAAACTACTTCTGAGAAGCTGACAGGAAACAACTGAATTAGAGAAAAGCACTATGTGCTCTGTGCTCTGTGACTGGTCAACCCCCTTTCCTGGAGTACTTGAGGAACTCCTCCTTGGGAAGAACAATGGATCCGATCTGAAAAGATCATTTCTTGCCAGGTAAAGAACAGAAGATAAAGGGGATGGCCAGGAATACCTCCAGACAGACGGGGGTAAACAGGACGAGGGTAAGCAGAAGGCCCTGACTGTCTAACCCAGGAGAAATATGCCAGAATTTAGGGTCCCCTGCAGCTAGCAATGGGGACATTATTAAAATGCACTGAACCCTGGGAGATTCTCAGATCATCTGTAGTGAATAAAGGCTCTGGGGAAAAACTTCAATTGAGAATAAATACTTTAAAAATGTGGGAGAGCACAGAAGATGCCCAAAGTGAGAAGGGACAGTGGCTAGAGGCTTGGACTAAATCAGACTTCTAACCTGTGTTCAGGGAACTAACTGCTGGCTCAGAGCACTGCTTCTCAGCAGTTCCCAAACATGACTGAGGCAAAAAATCAATGTGATTTCTTACAAATTCTCCTGAGACTCGGGTTCTATAGTTATGAAGACAGGTAAGCCTAAGATTGTGCTTTTTTCCTCTCAACAATCTCTTTCTTAACAAACACCCCCACAATTCAGACGCAGATGATCACCAAGGAATCTGATGAAAGAGGTAAAAATCCCAGGGCTCTGAGATCGGAAGCCCTAAATGTTTCAAAAGTTACCAGGAAACTAGAAGCTGTCGCTGGATGTGATGTGACTCACCGGAGCCGCATACAGAGCTGCAAAGCTGCAAGAGTTTGGCACGTTTGCCCAGAAGCATCGGGAAATTGAGGCCAGCCTAGGAAAGGGATTTTGTAAGTACCGTGGGGTAGTAATGAAGACATGGCTTGTTTCTGGGAATGTTGTTCATGCTGTTCTTCTCCTCCATCCTGAAGGGCTGTACTCAGCGCCGCTAGGGCCACGCTGGGCAGAAAAGACGAAGCAAGAACAATGAACTGTGCCTCCACCCAGGAACCAGTCCGATTTGACCAGATGGTTCTTTCCCCGGGGTAGAGGTTACCCTCCACCTTCTGAAAGAAGGAAAAGAAATGAGGTAGACAGCAGTTAAAAATGAAGTGTGGGGGAGAGAAGAAACTTTTTGTCCATCTTCTGAGCTGAAGTTGGCCTTTCAAAAAATATTCTTTGTTTCAGTTCTTCTGAGGAAATAGGACAACAAATTACATTCTTTAGGTAAAGGTAAAGGTAAAGGTAAAGGTAAAGGTAAAGGTAAAGGTAAAGCTGCAGAGCCATTCAAAAAGTAGTGCACATAATCACCAGGTTTTCTATTTGAAAAAAAAACTAACTTTTAATGGGCAGGTTGATTCATATTTAGGAACTTCAATTCAGATACAGATGATACAATGATTTTTTTTTTTTTTTAACTGTCGTATACCAACCATCACCGGTCCCTCAGCCCTGCGTGGTGTAAGGCTTCAGCCCAGGTCTCAAGGGTAACATTCTGCAGGGAAAGGGTGACATCTGCAGGAGCGCTGTGTCACTACAGGGTGAAATCCACCGGAATTCTCAGAAATCAACTTGCCAGAACACAGATAACATACTCAGCAAGTTGCCTAGCATACAATAAACTCTCTACAATTTCTTGAAATTAAAAAAACAAAAAACAATAAAACCCAAGGAAGATAAGTGCCAGAGGCTATCCAAATGAATTAGATTATTGTTCTATTTTTCACAGGAACCGTTCCAGTGAGATGACAGTCTATCTTGTGTTTAAAGACCTTGTGGACGGAAACTGTACAACCTCCCACATCCACCACAGCTCTGCAATCTTCCACAAGGCCAGGCTTAGGCAAACTTAGTTACGTCCGTCCGTACATTTAGTTTGAGGAGCTGTCCGACGCTCCTTTCGGAATCGACACCACCTCCCCTTTTACAACAGACATCCTTCATCTGTTCAATAAAACTGGCTGTGCACCCACTGCATCCCAGGCACTGTCATCTGGGCGCTGAGTGGTGAACCAAATCTATGTCCTGTCTTGAAGAGTAACTGGTCTGGGGAGCCTGCAAGACTCCAGGGTCTTCCTGCTTCCGTTTCTTTCACTGCCTCCCGCCTCCTCTTTCAGGTCTCACTGGTTCTTTATAATCATTTACGCAGGGACTGCCCCTGGTCTCCCTCACTTCAACAAAACTAACCCCTGCGCTGCATTTTCTCCGTTATGGTCTAGGTAGCAACTAGCTACTGTAGTAAACTATTCTATGCCAGTTATTAATGGATCACATCACCAAGGTAGTTTAAACACATCTCAACGGCGTCTTTCCAAAGACAGAGTAAGCAGTTAGGCCTTCGTGTCAAACTGATGGAGACAGTATTCCGGGTCAGGCAGGGCCTCGTTCTACAGCACCATTTCACACACGTGCGCCTGGTCTTCCAGCCAGCGCGGCCGACCTGGTCCGCGGCTTCACGTCACTGTTCAGCCCACTTCCTGATCACCCTCAACAGAGCTGGGGAAGAACATACACCCAAGCACCTTTTACCATAAAGGAGCTCCTTTACATTCCCGATAGATGTAAGTCTCTTCTCATTCTCCCTGCCATAAAAAGACTTCCTAGAGCAATCCAAAACTTCCACTGAAAAATGCAAAAATCTGTCAACTTGCATTTTTCATCTATTCTGCATATTTTCCTAAATTTTGCTCAGCAAATAGCCCGGGGATAAAGCTACCACTTCTCTTTCTCAATTTTATAAGTTGAAATCAGATACAAGATGATTAACAACTTACTATTCCTGCTTGTTATAAGAAGTTAACTCGCCCTGGTTGGTTTGACTCAGCGGTTAGAGCGTTGGCCCGTGGACCAGAGACCTGGGTTCGGTTTCTGCCAAGGGCCTTAGTTGCAGCTTGTCCTCAGCCCTGGTTGGGGGCCATAAGGATGGCAG